GAGTCATAATCAACAGTCACTGTCTGACGATTCAGAGACATTCTTGCTAAGTCATTTGGTCTAACTGCTCATTTGCTGTAGTGATACCCTTTTCATAATCCTTAAACTTTCCTGTAACCTACTGCAGCTTCCTTCCATAACTCTTCTACCTAGAACATCGTCGAAGCATCGATTACGATTCTTCGGTGGAGCGTGTTGTCGCGTACTATGACATAGATGTAGTAACTATTAATAACAGTAACTATCTCGCTCTGTGATGTAGTCTCCGCGCAGTATAGAATTAGTGTCTCACAACTACTTCCAAAGATTTATCTTTTTTGTCACCTCTCTCCTCAATCATGCTATACTTTGTCATCTATAAAATTGTGTCCGCATCAGCGGCTAATAATGATATATGAGCGAGGGCTGTTGTGATACTACTGTCGGATCGTCAGACACCGTGTATCTGACTAACCTCCCATATCACCGTCGGTGACTGTTTAGAGGGCAGAGACAGAAGAAAAACGTCTAATCGAGCATGACACAGTGATTCCTATCCCTCTGTCTCTCAGCCTGTCTCTTGTGTGTGTGAGAGTGTGTCTGAGTGAGTGAGAGAGAGAGAGAGAGAGAGAGAGAGAGAGAGAGAGAGAGAGAGAGAGAGAGAGAGAGAGAGAGAGAGAGAGAGAGCAGGGGCGAAGGCTGACTTGTTTGACAGGGTAATCAGAGTGAAACAGGACCAGATATGGCCTGTAGATATCACACAAGAATCTTACTCGAGGCGTCGACTCACATTTCACATTTGGCTGTTTTTTTGTCTAGCCTTTCGAGGCCAGGAGCTTCGCGGCCAGGAGCCTGTGTCATAATCGAGGTCACGATCGGTAAAAAGTCGAGAAAAAAAAACCAAGCACTTGCAGCAGTCAAGAGATTATTAGGAGTTAGTTCCCCTCATATTTGTGAGGTAGACTCGACCAGTGTTAGTTAGTTTACATAATCAGGGCTTGTGATTGCTTATAACTGTGGCGCCAAAGGGGTGAACAGGGTATATGTGGCAATGAAACAATTTTGATTGCTCTGCACATGTTCCCTTCAACTCTATTGGTAGACTCTTCCAACCTCACTTTAAGCTTACTTAATCAAAGCTTGCGACTGCTTATGGAGTGGCCCGAGAGGGGTGAGCAGGCTATTTCTGTGGCCGTGAAACCGTTTTGAATGTTAGGCATAGGCCTGCTGTTCGTTGTTGATTATGAACGTCTTTTTACATTTAATTTATGAGGTTTACTTTTAAGGGTGAATTTGACAGCGACAATATTTCAAAATTAGGAAGGGAAGCAGTGATTATATGATTATATAGACGCTTCACCACTAGGAGAGAGAGAGAGAGAGAGAGAGAGAGAGAGAGAGAGAGAGAGAGAGAGAGGGAGGGAGAGAGACAGGGGGGAGGGAGGAAGGAAGGGAAAGATGGAGGGTAAAAGATCGCTATTGGAACCGTATGATCTACATGGTCTTTGTATGACTGTATAGTTCAGAGAGCATTGCTTCTTGGAAACGAGTGATTTGTGTGAATTTTTATACATTTATTATCATCGTTAATTAATTAGTACGGAATTTGTCAGATTCAATTCCACTGAATTCAATAAAACCGAGGGAATGTACAAGGATTATCCAATGTGGGTTTATGAAGATTCTGTGTGACATTACAATTTTATATTGCATCTATTAAAATGAAATTAACTCGTGATAAGTAGCGTACTTCAATTATTTGTTTCCTGAAAGTTGATTATAAACCGATTTAACCGAGATTAGAAAAAAAAATCCGGTTCATTTGGAAAGGGGTGATTGCCCAGCTGTACACCGGTGGTTCTTGTTTGTAGAACTGCTCGAGATTTCCATGGGCCAGTGCCGGTTCCCTCCCCTCACTTCTCCAGACGATTGGTCGGTGTCGATCAGAGCGTGATATACACTAGAGTGGTGGCGCTTGATCGCCCGGGCAAAGTCATTAGTCGCGGGTAAAATAACTTACTGCCTGGTTCCGCTTGGCGGGCGAGGCAAAGTGTGGGTCAATGGACAGATTTGGTTTGTGTGCGTGCGTGTGTGTGTGTGTGTGGGGGGGGGGGGGGAGCTAAAGAAACGACGAGTGTGTGTGTGTGGTGTGTGTATGT